CCCCCGGCCCGTCCCATTCCCCTTCTCTCTGGGTGGTTGGTGGGTGCCCTGGTGTGGTTTGCTCTCTATATCCTATCAAACATCTATTGTTCTTATATCTCGTCCATCGTTCCTTTCCTTTTTATGTTACTCCCTGGTAACACCTTTAATCTTCAGCACTAATTATTCATGTTGCAGGTGCTGTAAAACTTTCACAAAACTGCAACCGCCCCTCTGTCAAAAATAAATAATAATAAATACAATTGAATAATTGAATAATTAATACTACCATTGTCACCTAATCATCATAATGTGATGTCATGTTTAAACCATGATATCAGCACAAATTATGAGGCAGCGTGGTGGAATCAGGCTCTCGTCAAAATAATCAAAGTGAAGAAACTTGCATTTTTCCGCTGGTTTGTGAATTTTTATCAACTTTTTTTGGGGGGCTCAACAGCTTTCATGACCAATAAGGAACTCATTTCGATGTCGATTTTTCTGCAAAACGTTGATTAAAGGCACAAAAAATGGACATTTTCAGTCACAACAGACTCTTAAGCAAAGGAAATAATGAATATTTGGCAGCCATTTTCTCACTAATTTTTCCTCTGAAAACAGGTGACCCCCAACTCCTTCATTCGCAAATATCTTGACTCATATTCAAGATAAATGGATATTTTTTTCATAAAAATAAATATAAGTGAACAAGCTTTAAGATGATACCAATAACTGTACATGCCCAAAAATTGACGAGAGCCTGAGTCCACCACGCTGTCTCACAATTTTCCAATCGTATCGTCCCAAAATTTACCTTTGTTTTTATTTTTCTCTCCCCTTTTCCCAACCCAACACATTTGCGCGTCTTAATTATTTTTTCCTTTCTCTTGCAAACTGGAATACATTTCCTGTTCTTTTTTCATCCTTTTCTTTCTTTTCTTTACAGTTTTACTTTTTCTTTTTCTTTTCTGTCTTTCTTTTCCTTATCTCTGGTTTAGCATATTTGCACTGGCTGGAGTAAAGGAACAGATTTCTAGGTCAAGATGTTGTTGTTTTAAAAAAAATATAATCTAGAGGTGCGACCTATTTACCCGCAGCTGATGCCTTGTTCATGATGGTTATGATATAACTACTACTATTACTACTACTGCTCCCGCTGCTGCTGCTGCTGCTGCGATACTACTACTACTACTACTATAGTTGATAATAATCATTAAATAATTTTAAGAAAAAAAACAGATAACAATAGTAATATAAAGTAGCGTGTATTACATCAGAAGACTTGAGAGCACTTTGAAACAATCTCAATTTTCTAGGAAACATACAGTGCAAGCTGACATTCTATATGCGCTAAAACAATACCCTAACAGTTTGGCAGGATCCGTAGTCAGCTAACCTTTTACACCTGGCTGAAGAGAGGAAAACGTGTGCCATTCCCAAGGACCCGAGGGTCGAACACCCGAACACGCAACTTCCCAATCGCGAGTCGGGTAGCTTAACTACTACTACATGTACTACTAATAAAGATAGATAGCATTTGTATAGCGAAAATTCCAGCTCAACAGCAAGCCCTACGCGCTTCACAATCTATACTATTACCCCAGCAGATATGAGAGAATTCTGAAAAAAACTCAACTTCCTGGGAAACACACAGTGCAAGCAGCTATTTTTTTTATAGGCACTAAAACACTTAAAATATTGACAAGATCTTTCGCTGTCTATGGCAGGGTACCCATTCCCACCTGGGTGAAGAGAGGAAAATTCGCGTAAAGTGCCTTTCCCAGGGACACAACGTCGGGCCCGCGGTTCGAACCCCCGAACTACTAGACCACTGACACTACAGTAGTCCATCTTATTTCAACCCGATCCGGGGGGACTGTTAGAAATATCTGCTTGTTTTAGTTTAGTTCTAGTCGAGGTTTTACGGCGCTCGCAACTGTACAAGGTCATATGAGCGCCAAAAGATTACAGGTGTTACAAGAGAGTAACAAACAAAACAACAACAAAAAAAAGAAAAAGAAGAAGGGGAGATAACGACGATAGATGTTTTACAGGAAAGAAGAAACAAACCACACCAGAGCACCGGCCAACCCGCGTAAGGAAACACATACTAAAACATCGAGCTCTACCGGGTTTCGAACCCCAAACGTCCACACTGGACCACACTCGTTTTCACCAGTACCCCAAAAGCTTTCACACGCAGAGA